ATTTAACTCAGCACATGATGATTCACACAGGTGAAAAGCCGTTTTCATGTGTGAACTGTGGAAAAAGTTTTCGTCAGAAAGTTAGTTTAACTCAACACCTGATGATTCACGCTGGTGAAAATATGTTTACATGTGTGAATTGTGGAAAAAGTTTTAGTAGAAAACAGCATTTAACTTGTCACATGAGGATTCACACTGGTGAAAAGCCGTTTTCATGTGTGACCTGTGGAAAAAGTTTTCATCAAAAAATTCATTTAACTCGCCATATGAGGCATCACACAGATGAAAAGCTGTAGAAATGTCACCTTCCTATGATGTTACTATCTGAATTTCAATCCGCCTGCAACAAGTTCTCCAGTTTCTTTTCAGAGAAAATTCTCAGAGGATTAATCTGATTTTAAAAATTTAAACCCATTTTTTCTCTATTCTTAAGAATGACTGTTTGATTATTGATTCTATGTTGCATGACTGTTTTTGTGTTTGTAATGATGTAAAGCACTTTGAAATGCCTTCATGCTGAAATGTGCTATACAAATAAAATTTGATTGATTCAATGTGTGTCCTATGTTGAGGTTCACTATAAAATTGATTTGGTTAAAAACTAGAATTAAAGACTGGAGGGATTTCATGTCTATAAAGCTGAGAAATTGTTGTATTTGTTAGACGTGATCATTTGGATCTTCACATTTGGACACCTAGAGATGTGAAACTTTTTTTGATGCATTGTTTTTTTCTGGCATATTCTGTAGCAAAAATAATGACAAACTGTATTGTTATAATATAAACCATTCAATAAAATGACATGGATTATAACAAAATTGAGTGATAAATTGTAGTAGTTGCATTTTATAGTCCTTATGACTACTGGGTATAAACTGATCTTCAGTGTGTTTGTCCTAAAAACTAATTTTCATGCATTGATTTTTCTTGATTGTAGAAACTGTTTGATTATTTTCTTCAGTAATTTACTGTGTCTTGTCTTCATTATATTTTTCTCTTTACTGCTTCAGCTGTCTTCTATTACAGTTTACCATGTTTCTAACCAATTTAACCTCTACACATAGATATATGTTTACTGTCTTAGAAAGTAAGTAAAACATTTACCTTTCCTGTAAAAATGTAGTGTTAGTGCTGAATGTTACTGCTGAAAATTGTAGAAACATTTGAGTTCAACTGCAGAACACTTGCTGAAATGAAATGAGAAGAAGCAGAAAAAGTTAATCTGCAAAACTGGCTACACAGCAAAAACTCTCAGCTACACTGAACCATTTAAAATCAGTACTAACATCCCTTCTAAAAAAATTTTAATATAACAAAGAGTAATAACATTTAACCCATCTAGTGCAGTAGATGAAGAAAGCAGCAGCGATCATTGTGGATACACAGAGTCTGGGGACCAATTATTTTAGCTTCTTGAAATAATTTGTTCCCCCTTTATAACATGGGAGCTAATTAATTTA